TTTTATGATTGAGCGGTACTAAGATAATTTGTATAATTTAAAATATTTTCTGTTTGATTCTTTTGAATAATATATATATATATCCAGTAATGCAAAACGAGAAAAGTGTGCCTATGCGTCAATTTCCATTTTCTCACCTACCATTTAAAATATTGTATATGTGCTCGAGCTCACTAGTCCTCACATAGGTATACACATGTATACAATGTTTAAACCTGACTTTAATCTTCGAAGGAATAGTTACTTCGTATGGTTTGTGTGTGTGTATACACGATGGTTTGCCGGTTAAGTTGGCTACTGAGATTTGCTTACATATAATTAGTTATTTTATTCTTTCCTTTTATATATCTCAAATCAACATGTATATATAATTATATATATGCGTCACAGGAAGTTAAAATGATTATTTCCTGCAGTTAGCGAATCCTAATATTCTCAAAGATCAATATGGCAGAGTGGGGATTTTAAGATGAATATATAGTACGTAATAAAGAAGAAAAACGTCAAGTTCCGTTGCTTACAAAATTTGGGTGTTGAGTGTCGACGTAGAGACCAAATAAGAGGATTACAAAATTCTCTGGGAGGATCAGATATACGTTAATTTCGAAGGAGAGAGGATTACTTTTCATAAAATTATTTTCAGATATATTATAATGAACAACTGAACATCCCTAATGAATGAAGATTTTTATAAAAATGTTGTTCAATATATTGTGATTTTCTTGTTATTTACGTTGCGCTAATCTGGAAATACCAATTTTTGGTTGTTGGATATATTGTGAAAAAATGTTTGTTGATGCTGATTAATTTGTAATAGCATTGATATTGAGTGGTGTTGCTTTGGTTTATAGGTAGAGACAAAACGCATCCATGTCTCGCTTTACGCCTTTCCCTTCTCTTCATGCGTGGCGACGCGCTCTCTATCTCTTCTACGCCCTAAAAGCTCTCTTGATCATGCAACTTTATATTATATTCTATAAAAAAAAATTGTTATCACTCTAATATATAAATACTCAGAAAGGGATCAACATCGAGACCTTTTTGTTTAATTAATGTTAATTGTTAATATTCTGATGAATGACGCTACGTATATGAAGCATCTTCTGCACATCCGTAGACAAAGAAAAAGAGAGACAAAAGGACCCAACATGCACACAACAAGATACGAGCTTTCGGTTGCTTTCAACTTTCATGATTCTTCTGTTGGGTAAGGTCTTATTTTTTCCTGTTTGTTTTTTCTTTTATTATTGATTTCATAATAAAAAAACTTAAAACTATCATTTTGTTTTTGTTTTCAGTCAAACTCGTATTTCGATTGTATGTTTCAATTATTTTAACGAAAAACTGTGTTTCATGAAGATATGAATTATGTATTTATTTAGATAAGCTCGTCCTCCAATAAATATAAAAAGAAAATATAATTTACAATATTCTTATAACGGTTTTATAATATTCGTGTATAACATGAAAAATGTTCTTCTTTTTTTGACAAAACATGAAAAATCCTCTACCAAACTAATAAGTAAATCATGTCTAACATGTTTTCTAGAAACACTACCAACCGAATAAATCATCTTAAATTGTAGGGTATCTAACAGCATTTTGGTAATTTTTGTGTTATAGATTGTTTGAGAATAAATGCCATAAACATTGAACTATATCGGTTCAGAGCCAAGTGTGCCTGTTACATCATGATGCTACGTATAACTATATGAAGGGGACTTCTAAATAATATATATGGAGTGTATAATCCACGTATATATAACAAAATAAAACAAATAGATAAATAGGAGTCCAAATCTATCGAATAAACCTATTGTGTTATTATCTCTAACGTTTTAGGTTTTAATATGTTTATGTCTTCTAATATTTCCCAAATGTTCTTGTTCGTCTAATTAATTTCATACATGATGTGTAACACACATGCACTTGCACCAATATGTGCCTGCAACCAGAGCTGAAATTGAGTAAATACCACGAAAGGTGTGTAAGCAAATAATTACAAATCAAACCTAGATTCGGAAATTAACCGAAATATCAGCTTTTAATTCTTATGTAGGTAGTACATTTTCAGAAACCACGAAATATACAGAGACTGAATCAGTTAGGGTTTGATTGGTATATAAAAGAGAGGGATAAGAAAGTTGAAAGAATAGAAAATAAAAAAATGAAAATGAGAGTAAATTTTTTTTCACTAGTATAGAGAGTAGTAATACTTTCCTTCTCGATCATAATTGATTAATCCGAGTTCTTAGGATAGAGTATTTAGTTTTTAATTAAAAAACTAAAAATTATTTTTTAAATACAAGATATGAGAATTGGTTATTAATCGAAAAGTGTAAAAAAATATCAAATCATAAGTTAGGAATTTCAAATTAAGAATCTGGATTAATCATGCTCTTAGAATTAATAGGTGAATTAAAAGCATTTTTACCTGTTTCACTAAAAATCAAAGTAACTTAGCAGAAAATATTTTATTTCCAGATTATTATCTTTGGATATGCTTTTTACTCAGTCTTAATAACCGACGGCCTGAAGAACAAAAAAACAAGAAGTGCTGTCCGCATAATTAGTTATATATGGATAAACTTTGTGGTAAATTAATTGGTACATCCAATTAAATTTGGTCCTGTAATTTTACCCAAAACTGGTCCTTTAAAAGAAGAATCCTTTGCTTCCACCTTAAGCGATGTTTTACCCACAATGAGTGTCTCTCGCTATCTTCCTTTAACCTAATTGGAAATGTTTGTTCTTTTTAAATGTCTTCGCCTTTATGTTTTCTCTTTTTGGTAATTTTTTCAAAGATTACCTTTGATGTTTTGTTTACAGAATTACCATTTCTTTAAAAACACCACATTCGTTTGAGTAACCTTTGTCAAAAATGTTTTCAACGATATTTTTCAAATTCTTACTTTGTTAAAAACGTTGATTTTTATTATCTTCTTCTTGCTACATAGCAAAAAGAAAGAAAGATTATAGAAATACTTCTTAAATATGTTTCTATCATCACCTTCTTGGTTCAAAATAATGTCGATCAAAATAAAAAAAAGTGTTTCTTACATTTGTCTTCTTAACTAGTAAAAATAATATATATCACATTTCTATGAAATACTAAAATTCAGATGTTCATGTTGTTGTTGTATTTGTAAGTGGTTTTGGGGTTTTTTTTTTATCGTTAATTCATTAGATGACAGGTTTTTTTGGTATTTTAGCTAACTGTTGTTAAAAAAAAGTTGGGAGCTAAGTTACATGAAATTAGAAACAAATTAGAAACGGACACACAAAACAAAAAACATTTACAAATATAAAACATAATTTTTAAATTTTCTATAAATAAAAACATTTTAGAAACGTATATAATGTTTGTTAGGAAACATTTTATATTTAATAACGAAAGAATTAGTATTAGGATGAGTATTAACGAAAAACATTTTACACTTAATAACGAAAAACTAGTATTAATCAGGGTGAGTAATTATTTGATAAATAAATTTTTGTTAGGATTAGACGTTGCGGGCCAATATTCTGGAGAATGATGCGATTACATACCATTAAAGAAAATTCTTACACATACTCTTATCGATGTAGATCGAACAATATATACATGTACGTACGTAGGGGTACGCACTGATATATTTTGAAAGTTTTAGAACATTTTATCGTTTTGTGGATAGGACCATGATGATCTCATCATCTTCATTACCATCAACATCAAATATACCGATATATACATAGATACGCACGTAGACATGCAACCACGTACACTTGAGAACAAAAAATTATGCAGTCTTCGTGTCCCCATGCGCACGTCTCTGTCTCTCGGACCGTATCCTACTTCTACCCACCAACTAGAATTTCATGATATAGTTCTCTTTATACCCTTTTTAAAAATCTCTCAGTAAAGTAAATACATAGTATAAGTAAAAAAAAAAAAGTAAATACATAGTAATGCTTAGATATTGTTAAACCGTTGAGCTGTATTAAATTAAACAATTTACATAACATGCATGCTTGATCAATAGCTTCAAAACGGCATTGTTTTGCTCAAAATATAATAAAACCCAAGTGGTAACTGGTGGAAAGTTAACTTCGTCTATAATGGGATCCAGCTTTCTTTGCAAATTTTTGGAACATTCTCATCGTTTTAACTCTAAAAGGAAGATGAAAATTGTGAATTCCACAATGTGCCACGTTATTGGTTCAACAGGGTATCAATGCCATACGTCAACATTTTTTCTTCGTTTTGAGATAAATATAGACAACTTTTATGCTCGTTTAGTTTTATATCGGTTACTTTCCCGCGACACACGCGTTATACATCTTACACAGCTGAATATATTTCACATTTTTAGTACTTCTCATCTTTGTTTGTCACCGTTACATATATGCAATTTTCGACTTTCCGCGTGTGGGCAATAAAAGATTCGTTTACAAAAAAAATTACTAAGATTTAAAGGTAACATATAACTAGTTTATTGGGACTCTAGATGTCAAAAAAAGAAAAAAAAAATTGGGACTCCGTTTCCAGTTTGTTAGGCTATATATAACTCTGATTTGTGTTATTTCTATGGTTAATGTAAGTATTTTTGGTCAACTAATTTGTTTGATGTAGTTGTGAACAATTAAAAAGAAAGAAAATGATAACGGGACACAATAACCGTACATAATATTAGTAGTTTTTTTTTTTGGTAAAATACATAATATTAGTAGTTAAAACCATTTATACACTAATACTATACAAACTCTAAATAAAGTATAAGAATTGTAAAAAAAACACATAAGAAGACATTTTATTTACTTCTGAAAACATATGTTAACCTACAAGTATTAAAGGGTCTATTTTGTTGAAAGCCAAATAAATAAAATATATAAAAAGATCAATGAAAAAGAGTCACTTCATGGAGGAGCCCACAGTACATGGTTCCATTAATGGAATAACCTCTATTTATAAATCGCCTCTTCACTCTGCTCTCCTCATGTCTCATTCATCCATCTAACCACAAAACATCATCATCATTATCTTCCTCTCTTAATTACAACCACCTAACACACATTTAAATTTCAAACAGAGATTAGTTTTCTCAAATCACCAGGTATGCTAATCTTTATAACTTAATCATCATTTGCTATATTTATACAGAAATAGTTAGTTATGTTTGTTGAGTTGTTGATTGTTAACATAATCATCTATTATTGCAGGAAAGCCAGGGAATAGTATTGAGAGAGGTTCTGATTAATTATTCTTGAGATGATGGCTTGTGGCTTAAGCAAGAGCCTTGGCTTCTCTTCCTCATTGAAGAAACAGCAAGGCATAGTGACCATCCTTGGTGGTGGCAGCAGCAACATTTCATCTGCACCTTCACTCAGGAGAACTTTCTCTGCTGACTTGTCTTCCAAGAATTGGCTCTCTCACAACGAGTCTTCTCCTATTAAGAGGATCTCATCCTTTGTTGTTGCTGACGATGAGGAAGAGAGATCAAGATCTGGCTCAGATATTTGGGCTCAGATTCAAGAAGACAAGAACAAGAAGAAGACCGAGCCAGACCAAACTGATGTCTGGAGTTCGATTTTATCCGACAAGAAGAAGACGGAGAGTAGCAACGACGCGCCGTATGTTCATCCTCTGATGAAACGCGCCAGCTCCTTGAGCGAGAAGAGCCTCGAGATTTGCACTGAGAGTCTCGGATCCGAGACGGGTTGCGAAGGATTCGCTTCGTACGCAGAAGCTGAGATCGACAAGGAGGAGAGTAGTCTCGTTCTTGACGTTACAGAGACCAAACAGGAAGAAGAAACAGAGGTTGAGTTTGAAAAAGAACCAATCACGGTTCAAAATCAGACAACATGCATAGAGCTGCCACGTGGATCGTTTCCTCCTCCGCTTCGTTCTCTCTCGAGCCAAACCGGTTCGGCTCTGCACATGAAAACTCGCCGCGACAATGGCAGGTTGGTTCTTGAAGCTGTCTCTATGCCGTGTCATAACAACTTCTCCGCTAAGCGCCAAAACGGACGGCTCCTCCTCGCTTTTGCTGACATAGTTAGTGAAGACGAAACTGATGAGCTTCAGTGGTCCGAAGATGAAGAAGAAGAGGAGGAGATACAAGAGGAGTTTGCTTATAAGCCCAATGAGCTTGTATATAAGCTTGCACCAAAGCCCATTGGGCCTGTTACCGTTCATAGGTTGGCCCATAAGCCTATCGGAGTACCAAAAACAAACTTGAGATGGTCTGAGATTGAAACCAAAACGGATATTTCGACACCGGTGGTCCACTCTCTGCCACCGAGGCCGAGGGTGGCTCAGCTCGCTCGGTCAATGAAACCGCCATCCACGGTGGACGACACCGTAGGAGCGGCTTGCTTCAACATATGTGACTACTCTTGGAAGCCTGCTAAGACTGAAATTTTAGGCCGCAACACAAAAAGCCAGCTTCAAGCCCAAAACTATGTCAACAAATCTATCGGTGTAGGAAATGACGGTTGGATAAATGGTTGCAAGGAACGTAGGAGGTCTCTGTTGTCCCTTGAGCCTTTCTGCATTGCTACTTCATAAGTTTTAAGCCCTTACCATAAAGTGGTAATCTACAAGAAGCATATATAATATATCTATGAATATGTATATATATGCGAGTATGTAATACTCGGAATATATATCCATATTAACCCAAATAATTGTCGTTGTTGCTGTTGGTTTTTCTAAAGGAAAGTGAGGAGTGAAGATTAGATAAATTTATTGTTTCAAAACGAGGTTAGATACCTCGTTGGAGAAAGAAATATTTTATGATGAGTGGTTGTGTTTTGTACAAAACTTTTGTTGTTCAGTATTTGCTCGCAAATAAGATGGATTTTATTCATTCTCCACCAGATTATCTTAAATATCATATGAGCACATAAGAACACCATCAATAATTGTTTTGATAGAGATTTTCACCATATAAAATAAATATATTAGTAATAAAAAGAACGTAGAAAAATTTCATGAGTACTAATTCTACTGTGGTTTACACACTAATTCAAATTCTTATGTAAAAATATGAATATATAAACTAAAAGTAAATATATTCTTTTTGAGAAACTCACATGATTTCTAACCTATAGCTGATGATCTAAAAAATTACATGTTTAATTTTTTTTTTTTTTAAATAAGACTACGTTTATAAAAATATTTATCGAAATATGGAAATAGAAATATTTTTTTATTGACGGTTGACTATTTTAGTTTTACAAAATTAACTACATTTAGCTCTGCTTAAGCGATTGATCAAGTTTAAATTCCTGATTATGAATAGACGAATAATATAAATTTTTGGGCAACCAATATTAGATGAATCATTTAATTAGCGTTTTTTTTTACTTTTCCCTCGTAAACCCGTATCTACAAGTTTACCCCAAAAAACCCGGCCCGATATATTTTATATCCAAACCCGCCTGAATATCCGAGCTTTATACCAGAATACACACTAGCCTTGCAAGTTCGGATAATTCGGTTTATTCAGTTTGGGTATTTTCGATTTCGGTTTATTCCGTTCATCCATAATTTTACCAAAGTGAACCGAAAATAAAATCGGTTCGGTTTTTGGTTAGTTTCGGTTTTAAATTTAATTTCCGAATTGACCAATTTTTTTTGTTTCAGGTAGATTTTGGTATAATTTTCTAAAACAATCGGATACTTTTGGTTAAATTCGGTTCGGATAATTCGGTTCGGAATTGCGGTTATTTCTGGGTATTTTTTGATAATTTCGGATATTTTTGGTTTTCATAATTTTCAAAAAAAAAAAATCTAAAAGCGGAACCCAACCGAACCGAGAACCGAATTAATTTTCAAAACCATTCCGAACCAAACCGAAATGTAGACCAAAACCGAACCGAAACCGAAAATTTTGGTTCGGTTTGGCTTGATCGGGTTGGTTAAAACTCGCAGGGCTAATACACACTGCCCAGACTAGAATCGTTGCCTTTTGGTTTCTTCTTCCTCTTCCTTCTCTACTCTGTCGTAAGAGATCATTAAAAAAAAAAGAAGCCAAAAGTCATCATGGGAGATGTTAAAGTAGACGACGATGCGATTCTAAAATCATTCCTCGCCGAGGTCGGTGAGGTTGAGAGGGACAACGAAGTCGTCAGGTTTTTCCTTCTTAAAAAACCTTTTTCTTTAATCCTAAATCTTAACTCTGTTCCTGATCTTACCCTAACGTTTAAGCTTTACTATGCAATTTCGTTAAGGTTAATCTCTTAGCTTTATCAGTTATGTTTATCTCTTAAAACCACCGAAGCTGTATGAATGGAATATGCTCTGTTTTTATGCTCTGTTTCTTAAAATGGATGTGGATAATTTTTGCACATATTTTCTTCCATGTATAGTAGTAAATTATTTAGCTTTATTGTTAAAAACTGTTACTGGTTGTAGCCATGTCTTAGAAAAAAAGATTGAACTTCGTAGGAATGTTACTGGTATGGTCGTTGTGTTATAGCCATGTCTTAAAAAAAGATTAAAAAAAAAATATTTAAAATAAAAAGATTGAAACTTTGTAGGATTCTCTCATGCTTCAAGCTGAACCCGTTTGAGCATCTTAACCTATCTTTCGATTCTTCCACAGATGATGTTAAAAGACAATACAGAAAGGTATTATTCTTGAGTTATATCACTTGCACTGCAAAGACATATTTTAATTTTTACTTTTTTTCATGGGTTCTTCTCGTGATTTTAGTTACAAGACCTCTAATAGTGACGACAATGGAAACTTTGTGACTAATTTGTATGTTTACCAGATATCTTTGATGGTTCACCCTGACAAATGCAAGCATCCGCAAGCACAAGAGGCTTTTGGAGGTTAATAGTCTTAATGTTTCTCTGCATATACACTTGTTTATTGTGTGAAATTCACTGTTTGAGTGTTGGCATCAAGGATGAAATGCTTGGGCCTACTCACAAGTATTGATTTATTTGGATGAACGAACTTTTCCATGTTTATATTGGTTTTTATTTACTGGACAGCGTTGGCAAAAGCGCAACAACTACTTCTGAACGACCAAGAAAGAGATTATATTCTCACCCAAGTCCAAGCTGCGAAAGGTGAGATTCTTTATTACATTGTGGATCCATGTTTTTACCTGTTTGATGGGTCACTAGAGATTTTTAAGACACCCAGACACATGTGTACGCAACTACACATTTGTGCTGTAGATCATTTGAAAGTTAATACCAATCATATGTAGTTTACCTTTTGTTACTCTTTCTCTCTCCTTACAACCTTCTTTTCTCCATCTGTGTGAAATGCAGAAGAGCTTAAGATGAAGAGAAAGGAACAGTTGAAGAAAGATACCGCCTCTAAATTAAAGTCCTTGGTTGATGAGGTAATGAAACCGTCTTTTTTTTACACATTTAACCTATTTAGCTTAGATGAAAGGATAACTCAATGAGTTACCTCTTGTTGTCTCTATTCTTCTTTTGTTTCTTTTGATTGATATATAGTCACACCTTAGTTCTAAATCCTTGTCATCTCAGTTTCATATTTGGGTTCCTTTGGTCAAATCCTATTTGTCATCTTCTCCACTTCAGATTCCTCTGAACTTGTAGTGATACACATCTTTGTACACACAGGGAAAGCATGAGCAAATATATGAGCAATCTGAAGAGTTTCAGAAAGAGCTGAAGTTAAAGGTCCGAGAGATATTAACAAACCAAGAGTGGCGTAGGAGGAAAATGGCCATGAGGGTATGTAGAGTTTCTCGTTTGCCTTCCCCGTGAGAAGTCACACGATCATTCATTCATCTTTTGTGTTTTTGCTTCTTGGCATTCAGATATCAGAAGAAGAGGGAAGACTGAAGAAAGATGAAGAAGAACAAAAGGAGATACGGAAGAAAAAGCGTGAGCATGAAGAACAGTTGGAAGGAACGAGAGAAAACAGGGTTTGTGACTTTCTTAATCCATTATCTTGATTCCTAACCTGCCTATGGATATATTAGTTTAGAACCAGTTTAGCTCACCTTTTGGCACTTTAAGTATGTCATTGATGTCAGTGGTTGTTATTAATGTTTGGGTGTCCATGTGCAGGTATCAAGCTGGAGAGACTTTATGAAAGCAGGAAAGAAGGTAAGAGTCACATTGTTATTTGTTAGATATGAAAACATCCTGCACTCATGAACTATTGTCTTATTTTTCTTCCTTTTGGTGAGATTTAAATCTAAACCTCTGTTATCTTCATCCTTCAGGCCAAAAAGGGAGAGACACGTCCTCCAAAGTTGAAGACAGAGGATCCAAACAAATCATACGTCCAAAGACCGGTCAAGAAAGGCTGACTCTCTGACTCTTTTAGCTGTTGTTGCCATTGATAGATTTGTCCTTCTCTAATATGATCTCAGACTCGTTCTGCTTTGTGTCTTCGTATCTCTTTGTACATCACCAACACATTTGTCTTTCCATATAATCTCACTTCTCAAACGCTTATGACCTTAGACAATGTATTGCGTCAGTAATGTCTTTAGACTGTAAATCTCTTTTATGTCATTGTGTCAGAACTATTAAGATGTTTATGACAAGTCGACAAGAGACCACGAAAAAAACATGTTCTCTTCGTAGATTCCCTTGTCGCAACCATAATGGTTCAGTCCCCACACCATAGGGGTAAAAAATCACTACACATAAGCTCTAAAGGAGGCCAATAAAGTACAACTAGTTCTAAAAATCGGTGTACAGTAAATCAGACATAAAACGTCATACCTATTTCTTGAACATTGATTACAACTTTGACATATCTCGAAGTGTTTTAAATTTTCGTTATAATCGATATACATGTTGTATCAAACTAATCTGAACTAGATACTAGATAGCATGCAACATACCTAGTCTGAACTAGATAGCAAGCAACATTCAAAATTTATCCAAATTTAAAACACCTATAAATTTTGTATATTTTTCTGTTGATAATATTTTCAGCTTTTATATATAAAATCACTATATGTTAAGTATACTCGGCTGATAACACAAATATCTTAACAATTTAAAATTATAGAAACAAGACTTGTATATTTTTTCATGGCATTAAGTAATAGAAGAGAACATGAACTTGTAGTTGATGTAATAATTTTCAAAACTATATTCTTTGACTAGTTTTGTTAAATTTCCTTTTCCCATAGGAGAAGAAATGAATAAAAAACAAAAACCAAATTACTAAAAGCAAAAAAAAGAAAAAAAATTATAAAAAGATCTAGAGTGTTCCGCTCCACAAGACCTTGAACATAAGCAAAGTCTTCGAAGAGGCAGCCACAACAAACTCCATCTCTCCTTCTCTCTCTCTCTATCTGTTTTTAGGGTTTTCTTAAAAACGGAGAAAGATGTTCAGAAGAGGACCTTCGAGTAAGAGCGACAACACCAAGTTCTACGAGATCCTTGGTGTCCCCAAGACCGCTTCACCTGAAGATCTCAAAAAGGCTTACAAGAAAGCCGCCATCAAAAACCATCCCGACAAGGGTGGAGATCCTGAGAAGGTCTGAAAAATCCTCCGATCCCCAATTTTATTACACAGTTTGTCTGAAAAGTAAATTCAGTTCTTGTCTGTCTGGAAAAATCTAGTTTCTTTTATTCTTCCATAATTCGATCAGATCGATAGAGATCGTCTAAACCTTATGTTTCTTCGATCCCCCTTGTTTATTACACAGATTGTCTGAAATTCAGTTCTTGTCGGCTCGGGAAATCTAGTTTTTTTTTTCAATAATTTGAATTGGATTGTCCGATCAATTAGATCTTCGTAATAGATCTGAAATTTGCGAGCTTTTAAATGTTTATGTGCAGTTCAAGGAGCTAGCTCAGGCTTATGAAGTCCTCAGCGATCCAGAGAAGCGTGAGATCTATGATCAGTACGGTGAGGATGCACTCAAGGAAGGAGCGGGTGGTGGAGGCGGTGGTCACGACCCTTTTGATATCTTCTCTTCCTTCTTTGGTGGTGGTGGTGGACACCCTTTCGGAGGTGTGCCCTTGAATTCACTAATCTCACTATCTATTTTACCTTTTGAATTGGTGATAAAGGTTTAATTTTTGGTTTTTGATTAGGTGGTAGTAGCCGTGGAAGGAGGCAGAGGCGTGGTGAAGATGTTGTTCATCCGTTGAAGGTTTCTTTAGAGGATCTTTATCTTGGGACAACGAAGAAGCTCTCGCTTTCTAGGAAGGCTTTGTGCTCGAAGTGTAACGGGTTAGTACTTTTTAAAGATATGCTTTCCTGTCCTGTCTTTCAAATTTCATGTCTTGTCTTCCAAATTTTGGTTGGTTAGGTTAGAAGTTCGATTCAGTAGATTTTCTAGAAAAAGTTCGGTTTTTTGGTTCAGTTCGGATTAATCTGTTACTTCGGTTTTGTTCTTTTTTAAAAAATTATACCCAAACCATACCAAAAACCTGAACGAAATCTGAAATAATTGAATTTATCAAAAAATATTAACAAAATAAACCAAAATCAAAAACTTAGGTAGAATTTTCAATAACCGAACTGAATTTATTTCAGGTTAATTCGGTCAGATTTATGTTATACTTGAAGCCACATGCTTACATGAAAGATTTGTTTACTGACGTTATTTGATTTATGATATGGCAGAAAGGGTTCAAAGTCTGGAGCTTCAATGACATGTGGTGGATGCCAAGGATCAGGAATGAAGGTCTCGATCAGGCAGATTGGACCTGGCATGATTCAACAGATGCAGCATCCTTGTCATGATTGCAAGGGCACTGGAGAGACCATCAATGATCGGGACAGGTGTCCACAGTGCAAGGGAGAGAAGGTTGTCTCCGAGAAGAAGGTGCTTGAAGTAGCTGTTGAAAAGGGAATGCAACACAGTCAGAAGATTACATTCAGAGGACAAGCAGATGAAGCGGTTAGTGATGAATATGATACTCATTTTGTTAAACCCATTTATTGACTTTGTATACTCTTTTTTGGAAACACAGCCTGACACAGTCACTGGAGATATAGTGTTTGTGATTCAGCAGAAGGATCACCCAACCTTCAAGAGAAAGGGAGATGATCTCTTTGTGGAACACACTCTCTCTCTAACCGAAGCCCTCTGTGGGTTCCAGTTTGTCTTGACTCACTTGGACACAAGACAACTTCTCATCAAATCAAATCCTGGGGAGGTTGTGAAACCAGGTACATATCTCAATCTTGATCCTATTGACACCACAACAGCCTTTCTCGTTCTTACTGTTTGGTTTGTTTATAGATTCATACAGGGCGATAACTGACGAAGGAATGCCGATACAACAAAGACCCTTCATGAAGGGTAAGCTGTACATCCACTTCACCGTAGATTTCCCGGACTCTCTGAGCCCGGACCAGACAAAGGCCATTGAAGCGGTGTTGCCAAAGCCTAACAAGGCGACTCTGAGCGACATGGAAATAGATGAGTGTGAAGAGACGACGTTGCACGATGTGAACATTGAGGATGAGATGAGGAGGAAGGCTCAAGCTCAAAGAGAGGCTTATGATGATGACGATGATGAAGAAGGCCCAGGTGGTGCTCAGCGTGTGCAATGTGCCCAGCAGTGATCTGGACATGGGGTTTGTTAGTGATTATCCAAAACGCTGGTTACGAATTTTTTTTTTTTTTAAATAGACTTTTGCCGATTCTGTGGCAAAAAACTCGTGTCCTAATTCAAATGCTGGTTACATTTTTGTTTGTTTTGTTTTCTGAATAAACTTCTCATAGTTCTTGGATCTTGTCGTTACCACAGACAGTTCAGTGGATCTAGTTCGGGTTGTTTGAATGTGAGCTTAGTTTATTATAGATAATAATGGTTTATAATTTTATATCATAAGTTGTATTGCGCTTCTGTTCTAACGTTTTGTCGACCACAAGAGTAGTACGATGATAATACTCTATTAGCTGTTATTACAACTAAATATGAATCGTATGGAATACTTTATAATGTGCTGATCTGAAACCTGTTAATCTCTGTACACAAAAATATAAACACTATCAACTCTCAGTTAACTGCACTGAGAGCACGGCACACAGGTAAAAGAGGAGATCATGAGGAAAGTATCATAAGCTCACCAGCAACAATACAAGCAGCAAACCATGGTGATGATGGATCAGTACCTTCCAAACGCAGTTGGTCATCCCCAAGGTTACATTGGCAATGCTCAAGATCTAGCGGATGCACCATCCATATCCTATGGCTCTGATCGGTTTGAAGCAAATGGAGAGAGAGCTAGGTTTAGGGCGGAACCAGAGATCCTGGGTTCAACTCTAGGAGTCAGTACTGGGTTCAACTCTAGGAGTCAGTACCCTGGTGGGACAGCTTCACGGTTCTACTGATGTGATATCTACTTGAAACACATTGTGCATATGAGATTTGATGATTCCCGCCCTTTATTTTGAATTTTATGAATCAGTTAAGCGTTTTAGACAATCCAGAATTTTTTTTCATCAATACCATAAAAACATAAATATTTTGTTTAATGAATTTTTAATGTTTTCTAATTAACCCTTTTGATGATATAAACAAATTTTTATTTACATTAATGGCAATATAATCTTTTATTTTTTTGACATAAAAATTATATACTAATAGGTTTTATTAATTGGCTGATTTTCTTTCAAATTTTATAAAAAATTTCTTGCAAAAATATATTTGACTCAACCCGCTACGGAGCAGGTTGGACGGAGCTTGTCGGACTGAGCGATTGAAATTTTGTAACTAAATGATTTTACGAATTAATCACAAAACTAAAAAAAATTAGACCATTTAACTGTTAAATATATAATCTTTCTCACGGACACATTTCAGATACAACCATTGTTAACTTATTCAGAAACATAAAAAATTATCTGAGACATTATAAAATAAAAATTTCTTATACCCGTATAATCACTTGATCTTGATTTTGTGACATTTTATATCATCAAAACAAAAAAAATTATCGATCCATCTGTAGATAAAATAACAAAAATAGTAAAAAGCGCGGATCAAATATCTAGTTTTTATCCAGCCACAACTATAATCTGCAATTTGATATTTATAAATTAGAATTATGATTCATGTCTAACGGTTTTAATTGCACAAAATCTCATATAAACCTTTCGATCTGGTTTCATCTATCGGTTAGGGGTTTTGAAGATTTTATTTAAGATAAACCGGTTCAAGATTGATATTCCGGTTCTCGTTCAACCGGGTCGTATTTCCGTCGAGGGTTTTAAATGTGAAATTCGAAACATGACAGCTTATATCATACGCTTTTAAGAAAACGAGGGATTCGATTAAAAAAAACTTCTCTAAAGTAAACATTCTCTTTTCGCTGCAGAAGAAGAGGGTGTGTGTGCCATTAGCAGAGCGACCGTTTCTTCTTCTTCGTCCTCTTCGCCTAAAATCGTTCGTAGTCGCCGGAGAAGGAGAAGCAAGGGTTCGATTTCGTTCCCCTCCTTCTACTTTTCGTATTATTCTAAGCCCTAGAATTAGAACCGTCTCGTAGAAAAATAAATCTGTTGATTTCGACTGTTACTAGGGTTTATGCATGCTTCAAGTTTCGTTAGGTCACGATTATTCGTTTGATTTCCGATTCCTAATTTATTTGGTTTTGTTGCAGCATTGTGTTGGTAATCGAATTCTCGAATGGTGAGTTGAAATTTCGTTACTCTTATAATTGTTTGATTTCTCCAAGGAGTGTTGAGGATGTGTGGTGATGGAGATAGTAATGTTATTGTGTTTGTTAAATTTTTGCAGTCGGATATTAGGAAGTGGTTTATGAAAGCCCATGAGAAGGGCAATGGGAATGCTCCTAAACCACCAACGTCTTCCACGGCGGATGCTAAGGAGACTTCATCAGTAAAATCAGAGCAGGTGAGGGTTTTCTACTCTATTTGGTGTATATATTAAACAATATATTAGGTATTGCAAGCATGAAGGTATTAAGTGGCTTTTGCTTATTTTCCTTGCTTTCTGTGACGGTTGCATGAAATTAGAAACACGTACTGTATTGAGAGTGAGTTATTGGTGACACATTTGCTCTTATAATCATCATTATATATATGGTTTGACAGGCTAGTGAGGACCTGGAAACTGCTGCTACTCGGAAGAAAACGAGCAAGTATTTTGCTAAGGAGAAAGCAAAAGCTAAAGAGGAGAAAGGGGTGGAAGAGCTTCCTGCGAAGAGGAAGCTTAAGACTGATTCAGATGATGTAGGGAAGCCCCGTCCAAGAAAGGCTGTCAAGGTTGATGATGATGACGATGATGATTTCGAGGTGCCTAGTGTGAGGAAGACTCGTGATAACAGCACTCCCAGCAAAAAACTAAAGTCTGGGTCAGGTAGAGGAATCGCGAGTAAAACTGTTGATAATGACGAGGATGATGATGGTGAAGATGCCCAAGAGAAGGATACTCCTGTTAAATCAGGTGGAAGAGGCCGTGGTGGTAGAGCTGCATCAGGGGCCTCAACTGGTGGAAGAGGAGGTGGAGGTAGAGGGCGAGGTGGGTTTATGAATTTTGGTGAAAGGAAAGACCCGCCTCATAAAGGAGAAAAGGTCTGTAGTTTACTTGACCGAATGTCTTATCATAATTGTCTGTCCTGGACTCCTGGGGTCCTTAATCTTTGACCGACCTTTTCTCTGTTTCCAGGAAGTTCCTGAAGGTAGCCCTGATTGCTTAGCTGGATTGACGTTTGTAATTAGTGGAACACTTGACAGGTATTTCACTGTTTCATACTTCTCGCCTTTCAACGTTTGTTTTTCCCGTTACAGTTTCTTATACACCCTTGATAACACAGTTTAGAAAGAGAAGAAGCAGAAGATCTGATAAAGCGACATGGTGGTCGTGTTACAGGCTCTGTTAGCAAGAAAACGGTATGTCTTCACACCTTATATATGTTTTATTTTGGACTAGAGGTAATGGCATCTAATTAAAATCTTTGTTTGCAGACTTACCTCTTGTGTGATGAAGACATCGGCGGAAAGAAATCTGAAAAAGCTAAAGAGCTGGGGTACGTGCCTACTGATTGCTTATAATTACAGTAAATTTTGACTTTTTTTTTCTTTGTCCTCAAGCATCCTGAGATGTACATTTTGTTCAGCACTAAGTTCCTTACAGAGGATGGCCTATTTGACTTGATCCGTTCCTCTAAACCCTCAAAAAAGTCCCTACCTGAAAGTACAAACAAAACCACCGAAAAAGTCAGTGCAAAGCCGAAGATAAGTCCTCAGAAAGAAGGGGCAAGAGGTACGAACTGTACTGCTATAGAGCATGTATCTGTGTCTTATGTTTGCTAATCTGTTTCCAGAAATTGCTCCGATGGTTTCAATAGATGCTTAAGCATTTTACTAATTTGCCAATTCATTTTCCCTGCAATTAATAGTGATCGCAATCAATTCTAGGTAAAGCTTTAGCAAAAAGTTCGCCCAAAAAGGTCCCCACGCCATCTTCCCCGGCAAAGGGAAAAAAGAAAACTATCGAGACTTCCTTGCCATGGACGGAAAAGTACAGACCGAAGGCTCCAAATGAGATTGTTGGGAATCAGTCAATGGTATGTGTCGAGATTACTATATGTTGCTTTTTGTTCAATGGCAGGAAAAATGATGGATCTTTGGTCAAATTGATGTCAGGTTACTGATCTTCACAAGTGGCTGTCTCATTGGCATGATCAATTTGGGGGTACTGGAAGTAAAGGAAAGGGGAAGAAATCAAGTGATACTAATGCCAAGAAGGCTGTACTTTTGAGCGGAACACCTGGTATTGGAAAAACAACATCAGCAAAGTTGGTTAGTAAGATGCTTGGTTTCCAGGCAGTTGAGGTGAGTTCATATTTTTTTTCATTTCATTGGTTAATGATCAATTTCTTGCCCATTCCTTACTTGCAAAATATACTTTATACTTTCTATATAGGTTAATGCTAGTGACAGTCGGGGAAAGGCGAACTCGAATATTGCCAAAGGAATTGGTGGTAGCAATGCAAATGCTGTAAAAGAACTTGTCAATAACGAAGCCATAGCTTCTAACATTGATAGGTATGTTGTTGTTTGTTTTATTCCTATCAGTGCTGGTAACTAGTCCTTGATGCTTGTTTTTTCCCCTGACTCGAGCAAGATTTTATCTTCAGGTCAAAGCACCCGAAGACTGTTCTAATCATGGATGAAGTAGATGGAATGTCTGCAGGCGATAGAGGAGGTGTTGCGGACCTCATTGCTAGCATTAAAATATCAAAGATTCCTATCATATGCATTTGTAATGACCGATACAGTCAGAAATTGAAGAGTTTAGTAAACTACTGTCTTCCCCTCAATTACCGGAAGCCCACGAAACAGCAGGTTGGATTAAGATGATTGTATTTGGGCTTTCTGCATTTTATTATGATATTTAATGCCTCAGTATTCCATGCAGTGGTCCAATGGTGGTCTCTTTGGCATGTTTGTTTTGTTCCATTATCAGTCCTAGAGCTCTTGGTTCTTCTTTTCTATTATTTACCATCAGATAGTCGACAAGAAGTGCCCTGTTTATACTTAGAAGATAGGGCTATTGTGAAAATACCTCAAGTTTTAGACCTGCTTAGTGAGCTTTCGCTGCATAAAAGAAAAACTTATAAATTTCAGCTGCATTTAGGATCTGAATGGTCGTATATACTCTATTTTATCATAAGAAATATCTTCTCTTATGAAACCAACTTGTCTTCTCATTACAGATGGCAAAAAGGCTGACGTATATTGCTAAAGCAGAAGGCCTTGAAGTTAATGATGTAAGATTCGGGACTTAATGTTTTTACTTTAACTAGCTTCTGTCAGTCAGTGCTAGCCAATTCCACATAACCATACATCTGCTTAAGACTATGGTCTTTGCGAAAAAATTATGATCATGGCATGCTCCTTTTATAATGAGAATAGAAGTATTAGATTTGGTGTAAAGTATATTTGTCAGGCAAGGTAAAGCGCAAACACTCATTACTTTTACCTTTAAAGCCCTCTAATTCAAGTCCTTGGAAAATCGGATACCAGTTGTAATAGCATAACTATTTAAGAATAGAATTTGGCTCCTGTGTTAGCTGTGTCCACTCGTCCTGTATTCTAATGCTTCATGGCTTTCTTCTTAATCTCATAAACATTTTGGTGGTGGGCGTTATGTGCTACCACTTTCTCCCCCTGGAAGTCACAATTTTTCCTTCTTGTCAGATTGCCCTGGAGGAACTCGCTGAGAGAGTGAATGGTGACATACGGTCGGCCGTGAATCAGCTCCAGTATATGAGCCTGTCCATGTCAGTCATCAAGTACGATGATATCAGGCAGCGCCTGCTAAGCAGTGCGAAGGATGAAGATATTTCACCTTTCACAGCCGTTGACAAGTACTATCTCATGTCATATTAATTTAGTTCATCAATGCACATAGTAGTGTATCTCTAAGTGTATGGCATTACTTAATTGTCTGAAGTTATAATGGTGGGAAGCTGAGAATGGATGAACGGATTGACCTAAGCATGACTGCTAATGATTTCCTTTCAGGTTGTTTGGTTATAATGGTGGGAAGCTGAGAATGGATGAACGGATTGACCTAAGCATGAGTGATTTTGATTTGGTTCCCCTTCTTATACAGGTCTGTACTTTTTGATACTTGAGAGGTTGTTTGTGATTTCTTGAACAGTTTCTCACATGAGAGTGTGTCAAACTTGAAATTGTACCTCATTTACCTTTAAATTTAAAGACAATTTTATCTTCTTTCTTTCTGGCAGGAAAACTATGCCAATTATAGGCCAAGTTCAGCCGGCAATGATGAGGCAAAGCGAATGGAGTTGCTTGCCCGTGCTGCTGAATCTATAGCGGATGGAGATATTATCAACGTGCAGATTCGGAGACATAGGCAATGGCAACTCTCTCTATCTTCCTGTGTCGCATCTTGTATTCTCCCGTAAGTTGCTTCCAGTTATTGAGAATAAGATCGATCCTTAACCAAAATAGCTATTCTTTTTCTCTTACATGAAGTTTGTGTTGCCGATGAATATCCCCTTTCCTACCCTCTAGTGTATTTATTTTTGTTATGCTTTCTTAGACCTTATGTTGCCACGTATGTGTTGTGCGACTTGTGTCTTTGTTACGGGTTTCTCTCCGGTGGCTAGTTCCACGGATAGAAGAATACGTTGTGCTTTCTAATATGTGAGAACTAACATGTACTTGTTTTGTTTGACTAGAGCTTCGTTGATGCATGGATCAAGGGTGCCGCTAGAGCAGGTAATGGTTTTTCAGTGAAGTTCATAAACTTTTGCTATCATTCAGTTTACCTTCTTTTTCTGATGATGCATATCCATATTCCACATGATGCATTTTCTTTTGCTTATAAGTTGTTCTCTGTAATCCACCACTCATATGTCGAAATTAGAGTTTCGTAAAATGAGATCCTTCCTAGGCTATAAGACTTGAGCATGGTTATTTCTGTGTATGAATAGATAAGCCTGTTTCTCCGTTTTGCATCCCTGAAGCTGTGCATTGAATATGATGATATTAACACTTGGACGCATTTATAAACTGCAGGGAGAAAAAAATTACAATAGATTTGGTGGGTGGCTTGGCAAGAATTCTACGGCGGGTAAAAATAGAAGGTTGCTGGAGGATCTGCATGTTCATGTCCTTGCTTCCCGTGAATCCAGCTCTGGAAGGTTACTACCTTTGATACGACTTAGACATTGCGTATTTAACAGCTACCTTGTTCTCTTCATAGTTCATCCAGCTGTGAAGAGTCGATTTTTCTTACCTCCTGCCTTTCTTTTTATCAGTGTTATGTTCTTATTCCAACTTTCTGACTACTGTCAATATTGACCACAGGGAGACTCTTCGTGTTGATTATCTACCCCTTCTCTTGAACCGCTTGACGAGTCCACTCCAGACACTACCTAAGGTTTCACTTATTAACATCTGTTTTTTGTTCAGTAATTGCAGTTTACACTTGTTTGTATAATGTCGAGATGAGCAATTCTATGTTAAATGTGAATATATATACCCAGGATGAAGCTGTTTCAGAAGTTGTTGAATTCATGAACTCCTACTCCATAAGCCAGGAGGACTATGATACTATCATGGAGTTGGCGAAATTTAAGGTATACACACGATTTCCTTTTTTCACTGAATATCACTGCCACAGCGAATCTCTAATAATGTATTGCAATCATTACGAATCAGGGACGTGCAAATCCATTAGAGGGTGTCCCACCTGCAGTTAAGACAGCCTTGACTAAAAAGTATAAGGAGACGAGTAAAACTAGAATGGTGCGTGCTGCTGACATGGTGCAGCTCCCGGGCGTGAAAAAAGCGCCAAAGAAGCGAATAGCTGCAATGCTTGAACCAAATGTTGAAAGTTTGAGAGATGAAGATGGCGAGCCGTTAGCAGAAAATGAAGAAGAAAATGAATCAGACGCTGAAGACTCAGGTACTTGTACCAAACTGGTTCTGTACAATCAATGACTTAGCCTCAAAAAGACGTCACAAAAATCACCTTAGGTAATCTAATATGATCCTTTTCTGTTTTTCTATTTTGATTGTTCCAGAAGAGGCAACAAATGGAGAAAATCTGGAGTCAAATCTAAAAAATCTGAACGCCAGAGGTTGGTCTTGTTACTTTTTTTTTGATCAGTTGTGTTTTCCTTTAGAAAGTCAGAGCCTACAATCATATCTTGGCTCTCTGGACTCGCCAAAGTCTTTACTGCACATCTCTTTTTTTGTGGGAAAGCATATCATATCTAACGAAGTATATACACATAATTGGGATGTGGCAGGGATCCAAGTTGAAGTGGATCTGAAAGGAGCTGGAAGCAGCTCAGGCACAAGAAAGACAGCTGGTAAAGGAAGAGGCAGAGGCAAAGCAGCAGATGCTCCTGCTGAGAAGAAGGCTACAGGACGTGGAGCTGGTGCCAAGAGAAAGAGATGAGAGAAATAGCCAAAAATCGTTTCGGTTTTCAGGAAAATTTTATTAAGAAACGTCTCTTCCTCGAATGTGGTTCATGTTTGGATATAAAGACTTTTTCCCTTTTCTGTTTTTTTCCTGGGATTGACAAATGAAACTTATGCTGTCTTTGTAGTCTTAGGGCGGATTCTAGTTTGTATCGAACGCACAAGGCTTTGCTCTTTCAACTGAAATGCAAAAAACCAAAAAAATTAACTAGATAACAATAATTTAGGTTTCATTCGCCAAGTTTCTGAAGATGCATAGGTAACAATCATAGCAATAGCAGTTGAGCAGAAGTGTTCGAAATCCATAACATGAACGACAATGTCAATTTTACAACGCACAACACTCTTTTAGTTTCTTTTTTAAGTTCATGCAATTTATAAAAAAATCATAGATTTTTACCTAATAGCATTAGTTTTTTTTTAATATCTACAAAACTTAGAAATACTATTTAATTTACTTCTGCTACTTATACAACTTTTGTATAACTTTTTTTTTCTTAATTATATACAAATTGATTTAGCAGATTTTAACCAAAAGAAATAGATAAAATCTATTTAATACTATAATTTTAAATATATACATATCTATCTTAAATAAAAATTTAAAATAAACAAAAATGTTTATTTTATCTCAATTTTATGTTTAATTAAATCAAAATTTATATTAAAATATTGGTAAAAAGTAATAACTACCATTTTTTTTGCATATTCCTTTAGCATAGCTAGCATATATCTTTGTATTTAGGGTTTGTGGATTGTCGGAAAAAAATAAAAAAAGGGTTTGTGGAATTCACTTCAAGCCGCCATGGAAGATTCACAAGTGTCTCTCTCACGACGACGTGATCTAGATCATGCTGTTCCTTATGATCTCATCGTTGAGATACTCTCTCGACTACCATCAAAACCACTCATGCGATTCCAATCCGTGTCAAAGCTATGGTTCTCAACCATCCGCAGCAAAAACTTCGTTGACACGTTTGTGACTAGGTCAAAGACTAGGTCTCGTCTCCTTTTACCTTTCATGCAATTTGAATCCAGAAAACGTTTCATCTTATCCGCTCCTGAACACAAGGAGGATGACAAGTCCTCATCCACAGTCACTTTCAGACACGACATGGCGATCTCGGATCCCGTCCACTACAAAATGTCTCGCCCCGTAAACGGTCTGATTTGTTGCGTACGTGACTCATCGATCACCGTTTGTAATCCGACCACTAGACAACTAGTGAAACTGCCAGATGTTACATGCAACGGAAGACACATACATGCACGTCTCGGCTATGATCCAGTGGAAGATCAATACAAAGTGTTGTGTTCGATAATGACGCAATCGAGTTCATTCTGCGATCTCCGACAGGAGCATTTAGTTTGCACAGTGACATCATCTGAGAAACAAGAGTGGAGAAAGATTGCGAACACCACCATAAATGGCTATCGTAGCCTCATCAGCGGAGGGATATGTATCGATGGTGCTATATACTACGAAGCTAGAAAGTTAATGATTGTTAGATTTGATGTTAGAACTGAGAATATTAAGTTAATTAAAGCACCTGAAGAGTCAGTCTTCTTGAGAAAATTCCCTTCCACTCTTTTAAATTACAATGGAAAATTGGGAACTGTAGATTATCCTGATAAAAGCGTTATGAGATTGTGGATTCTAGAGGATGCTGAGAAGCAACAATGGTCGAGCATGACGTGTGTCTTACCTTTGGAACTGGAATGTCTACTTGGGAGTTACGTAGTGTCTAAAGGAGATGTTCATAACGGCGAGATTATGGTGTTTCATCCATCGTCATGGTCATATAAGCCATTTTGTGTTTGGTATTATGATTTAAAGAAAGAGAGTACAACAAGAAAAGTCGAGGTAGTGGTGGATCGTGAGTTCAAACGTATCCATGGGATCGGTGAGCGAACATGGCAGATGTTATGTTATCCAGGTTACTTTGAGAATATTAGGTTCTTGTGATCCTTATCCATTAAGCTTCTTTCACTCAGTTTCAAACGTGACTTAATTGGTTTGTTGTAAACGATTAATTCCTGAAAATAGGTTTTATTTAATTTTGTTTGAAGATTTTGGCTTGGTTCTTGTCTAGTTTTGCTAGTTATGTATCAAGTGTGAATAAACAAAGAACCTACGAATAAGATGAAAATATCGTTGAGTTTAAAAAGAATAAATCATATATCTTAACCACAAGATGCTGAAACTTGTTTTATTAGCTAGAACCAGATGCAACCGCACATGTTCCTTTAACACCTCTTTCATTCAAAGAATGTTCCATCACCCCCTCCTGATCTTCTATTATGTTCATTGTTTGATTCAGCAGGAGTGTTGTTTGATGATACAGGTTCAGTGTCAGGTATACTACTGTTTTCTCTCGTTTCTAAACGTTCCATCATGCGGGACACAGTGGCTATTCCTGCACTGACCTCTCTTTTAACCTCAGAGCCAAGATCTGCCATGGACGTGTTGCGAGAGAAGAATCTATCTTTCCAGCTTCTTGTGTTCTTTGATATTGATTCTTTGTATCTGAATTGTACATAAGGAGTCACTTAGGATTGATACATTACAAACCAAAGGTAGCTAGAAAGAGATGTGATTACCTCACTGAGACAGCGTTTAGTCTAGACTTTAGAGATTCTGAAAATGATTGGAGCTCTGATGGTCCAGCTCTATCTTGATCACTTGGTGGCTGCATGTTTGACTGAAGAGAACCCTCCCCTTGAGGAAGGTTTGTGACTGTGTCCCTCTCATCTCTTTGGGAAGGAGAGGAAGGCATTGGAGGATGAGGTGGAGCACTGGGATGCGGAGAGGATACTCTGAGCTGTGGATGACCAGCTTGAGTTGATGACCTGTTTCTGCGGCCTTCTCTTCTTGCACCGTGTCTTGCTCGTCCCATAGCAGCAGCAGCAGCTAAGTGCTGAATGATCCGTTCTTCAATCTCTGCGTTATCCATCCCTACTGGGAGCTGCACATAAAGAAAAATGTAACAAAGATAGAGCTCTCTATTTAGATGAGCCACTAGTGAAAAAAATGTTTTAAATTACATGTGGTTTTCAATTTTCAAATTAAATTTTTTAATAATTACTTTTTGTTATATGACTTTTTTTATATTCTGCCCTCTATTTATTGGTTGAAAAAATGGTTACGTTGATAGTTAATGATATTAAATATACAAAACTAAATGTTTTTTTAATTTGTATGCAAGAATCTAAAACATAAACAGAGGGAGTGCTAAAAGATTCATCACATACATTTTGTAGTTGAAAATCACCAAGAGTAGGATGACGAAAGATGGTGGCGTTTCTAGATGGACTGAAGCGGAAACTCCTCTCCTGCACAACAGCTTCAAGCAACTCCTGACTAGTGAAACAGAGAAAATACACACACACATAACTGAAACAACCTCCATCAAAATAAAAACAAGCAGAACTTTTTATTACAAGGAGAGACAAAAAGAACCATGTGGGGTCTTTGAGACTAATTGATTGCCAACACATTGGGCACTGTGAACTCCTTTGACACCTGAAACACAAATGCAACAGGATCTAATAAGCTCAAGGATACAAAGGTTGAGGTTATGTGAATTGTATGAGTGTTTATCTTCTGTCTCTCTTACCACTCAAGGATGCATTGAAGATGATACTCATGCTTGCAACTAGTCAGCTAAAAAACAAAAAAAAAAAACAAAATGGTAATCAATCAATTTCACTCAACAAAAGAAAATATAATATTGAGATGACATATACAGTTGAAGGATCAGATTCGCAGAAGACTTCAAGACAAATGCTACAAGCATCATCACAAGGATCTTGGATTCCCCCTTGAACAAAAGCTGCTGCTGAAGTCAAATGCCCTTCAGACGACGACGTCGTTTTGTCTCCCGCTCCCTGTAATTGAATTATCAACACCATCAATCAAGACTTTTTCAGCATTGCATTTGAGCAAAATTCAACACCAAATCTAATGTCATAAAAAGATTTTTAAAAAAACCATGTTTATATAACAAAAGGCTCGTTTTTGTATCAAACAAATGAAACTCAACGGGAACAAAAAAAAAAAAAAAAGAGTCTAACCTCCATTGAAAATCACGATGATGATATTGATCAACAAGATAAAAGGAATGTATCTAGGGAGTTGTGAGAGAAAACAAAAACCCTAGATTCACCCCGAAGACAATGGATGAGAAATGAAGGAGAAGGAAGAGATATATGCGAAGAGAAGACAGAAGACTCTTTCTTTTCTTTTCTTCTCTTCTTTCTGCGCGTTGTCTCTATTGAATCACGACCCTTCTTTTTTTTCCTGATTTAAAATTAATTTAATTCAAGGTATTAAACGAAAAGACAACGGCTGGGTCCCAGGTTACGACACGTGTTTGTACTTGTTGATTCTTAGATTTTTTCTTTTTAAAATGTACTTTCAGCTTACACTTCATCTGGACATTTTGTTTCACTCTTGGTCGAGAAAAGTTCCAGCACAGAATCATTATGTTTATTAAAAAAAAAAAACAAATATCTGAAAAAGAAATATTGTATTATCTCTAAAGATTAACATAATACAGAAGGTGGAAATATATTTAGACAATAAAGTGTGTTAAAAACTCTTTTCAAAATAATATTTCGGATTCAGATATAGTTTATAATATTTTATGAGATCTGTTCAGATGTTTTTATATTTGGATCGGATAATGTATTAGATTTTTTGGATTTTAGATTCTGGAGTTTATGCTCAGCGACATGTCTGTCACACAAAAGAAAAGAATTGTTATGCCAAACTCCTTTGTAAAAATGCAATTTGTGGGTGTTTGGGTATTCCAATCAAAATCGGCCCAAATAAAAACATAAATTCAGCCCATAAAAGCTGGGTATTGAATTGGAAGAGCCGAAAGTCCAAGGAAGCCTAGTTTGTGGAAGCCCAAGGAGTTGGCGATTAAGTCGATCAAAGATAAGAGGATTGAGCTCGAGATGTGGTAGTGGCGGATCTATCTACCAACTTTCTTTAATCGAAGTCATAATCACATTGGAGCCGATACGCCAAAGTTTACAAATCATAGTCTACTGATTTTTTTAATATTTACATACAATTATATATATATATATATGTAAATGTCCTGTTATTCTTTTATATAGGTATGCCACTGAATAATGGTTTAGATGTTTCGAGATTTCCGAGTCATTTTGTCTTAGGAAGAGGATTGCTTAAACATGCAATTCACATATGTAAGGAAAATAGAGAACAAATTTTATAAGACATCTAATTTTTAAACTAAAACATATACTTATTATATTAAGACATATCTAAAATCTTTTCTTCACAAAGAGCATTTATTCACAATCTAATTTATATTTCTTCCATTATAAAGTGAGGAAGACCAACTCAAAAAGATCATAATACCTATTGTCCAATTAGTAAATAGCTTTTAGTATTAGTTTGTAATTTTCCAAATTTGTTGAACACTGTTTTTTTTTAATAAACCATGATTTTCTTAGTTCTCTTCATTTCCACAATACAAAAATGGATTAAACCTTTTTTTGTCACCAAAAATGGATTAAACTGTTTTTATAAATATATACGTTAGATAGGAGAAAAACAAAGTTTAAAGGGATGGTTGTTGTCAAAAAAAAGAAAGGGGGATGATGGAAGGAAACAGAAAGCTTTGATTGATTGTCGGGACGTGGAGAGAGCTCACGTGGCAGTTTCAATCTGATTGGTTCCTTAATCGTCGGCGCACGTGGCATGTCACTTGTCACCAGGACCTCTCTCTCTTACAGCATCAACTTGTACGATCGCTTACCGTTCTGATTATGATGCGTCACTCTCAGTTCTCATCCCCACCTTTCCATCAGCTCTTTCCTTCTTCTTGTTTCTTTCTTTCTTTCTGCGTATTATTTTTTATTCATACGAACTATACGAATTATAAATTGTGAATGAAAGAGCTACAAAACATTTGTTACCCAAAGTATACTGGTTGAGTGGATTTGTTAAAAGCTATAAGGGAATTGCTTGAGAACACTTAGATATTACTGTAATTTGATGATTAGGTTAGACTAGAGCAGCTCATGTACTCCATTTATAAGGTTTGAGACAGAATAGTAAAATAATAGATTAAATGTTTCCGTAGGATCACCTCCTAAGTACAGTACTGTTTGTTCATTTATATATATTCTCGTACTAGGGAGAACTAAAAACACGTATAACCAATTACTTTTGGAAGATGAAGATTCCATGCTGTACGGATTTGAAAAGCAAATCAACAGATTGATACCCAAAAAATAATAACACAGAGATTTAATGTGATTTACCTCTAAACCAACGTCAATGGATTAAGAGAGTATTTTATTGATAGAAACGAATTCTAAAATATAATTTACTTACTATAAATTAGGCTCAAAACTATATATATATAAAAAGTTCATATTTGATGAATAGTTTCTACGTTTTTCAGTTTTGGCATGGATTAGACGATCGAGCGATCCTTCATAGCGAATTCATTGTCAGTGGGATTGGGTGATCTTTGTCTCCAAGATCGACTGATCTCTTTAACATTTCCAAATTTAAGGTATAATTTTCAGTCTATAATAAAATATGGACGTAAATCTATTTCTATAATACAAAATAAACTGGTGGATTATCTTGGCTTGTTTTAGTTGTACCTATGTATTTTTGTTACTTTGATAACGGTTATATCGACTGAATAAAAAATTAATGGTTACAGCATTTACTAACCAAATGAGTAGTGGAGAATTCTATTCTATTCAGGGAGATATCAGAGTTGAGATGAGTTCATTTGTTCGCTTCGTGATTGAGAGTATGTTTTGGAAAACAAGTTAAGTAGTAGTTCTGAAACCAACGTCAGAGAATTGATCTGAAAGAGAGAACTCTGTTTCTGATATACATTGGTCGATGTTGTTAAATGGATGAGTGTCGAAGTCGAAGTCGTGTGAATGTGACGGGTCCTTTCTTTCCACAGCTCATAAATTGATAACTGTCAAGCAAGTCTTAGCAGATCTTTCTTGGTTGCTGCATATCTCGAAAAGGTAAGAAGTTAGTAGTGTCTTTCCATAGGTGAGAATGGTTAGAAATATATTGCTTCGTGATCACAAAAGTCTGTGTCTTTTGGGAAAAAAAATGTGACTTTTTGTAGGCATTAGCTAGCTATAAGATAAAGAAGCTATGATTTGAAGTCCCCGGTCAAACATAAGATCACGAGTTAGATTCTGGTCTAGAACAAATGACCAGGTAACCAAAAAAAAATTGGGGGGGAGATCTTTTCTGATGATGCCAACATATTTTCACCAATGAACCAAAGGGCAAGTGGTCGGCTTGTGTTCCATACTTTGGACCTCAAAACTCCAGCAACAGATTTGTATATATTAATGTGAACGAACCTAAAGGAGTTCATAGATATGGTGGAAACTGTGGTGACATTAAAACGAATGGTCCTATGTATGTATGTATGCAGTATGCACACATACACTATCAGTTTGACGTTTTTCAAATGTCTTTTTCGAATTAAATTATATTGATAAGTTTGATTCATGAAAAAGGGGAGGGGTGGATATGACATCAGACTTTGATATAAAATAGATTAAAAATATGTGGTGTTAACTTCTAATTGTTCGTTGCTGATATGTATATAGCAAGTTAGCAACTACGTACGTACAGTTACAAATATTGAATGGGTGATCGTGCTGATGTGTTTAGCACAACTTTAAGTTTTTAGAGGTTTAATTGCAATAACTAAAGATTCCTAATTGCGACGACCGAGGTAATTACTAATTATATTAGCTTGGGCCACTAGTGTGAACGGAATCCAACAGAAATGGCTCTAATTGGTGGAATTGGTGGCATCTCAAGAAAAACAAACACAAAAACAAAAAAAAACATCTGCTATCTTTATCCACTTCTTATCTCTCGTCTTTATCTGCAGTGTATCTTGTTTTTTCTCTTCACTTTAAAACAAGTTTAGCATATTATCAGATTCAGTGCTTCTTTTTCTCAACCTTAGTTATGATTTGTTCTTGTTTGTGACGTCAACTTTTCAGGGAAAAAAATCTGCTCCTTTGAAATTACTCTATTTATAGTGGAGTATCGTAAAATTCACCATTGTGGACCAAACAACAGAAAATAACCATCATGTATATCAGTATTTGTGTTTAAAAAAAAAACATCCACACTCTTTTCCTGAACCAAATTTCTAAATATAATAATAAATCCGCTTTGAGAATTTTTTTTTTTTTAGGTCAAAAAATCCGCTTTGAGAATTAAATTGTGAAACACGTAACTTATATAAAAACCTTTTTGGTGTAATCCAAAATAATATAGTTTATTTCTGAAATATATGAGTATAAGGAACTATATATTTCATAAACTTTAAAACAGCAATGGAGAAACGATTTTTTCGTTGGTTAACCTCTTTTTGTCAACAATGGAGAACTAATTATCACACACAAAAACATCACGCATCAACTTTTACTACGAATAAGCACAAATAAAAAATGGTATTAGGGTTCAACCATGACTTCTCCGCAAGTAAGGGAATTGGTGTAGCATTTCCAGACTCTTAATGTTTTTTTAATAGTCTACTAGGTGTTTTGCCTGCACTTGCGGGCTTAATAATTTTACTAATATCTAGAAATAAATATATAATCAATTTATGTAAATTATAATAAATTATAGTTCATAGGCTCAAAATATTTAATAATAAACTAAACAAATTATTTCTATCTATAAAAGTTTTCATCATCATATAAATAATTTTCATTACACAACTTATATTTGAAAATACTCATGAACTTAAAACATTTAATAATAAATTAATATCATTTTAGACATAACAAAAAACTATAAAAAAATATTTTTAATAATGTTTTGGATAACACAATATAAATTATCTAGACATAAATTCTTTGCGAATTGATTTTTCATAATTAACTATATATTAACAATTAGAATTATTTTTCAACGTTAATAAAGACTTTATAACATAATATAAAAAGTTAGATAAAGATAATTATCAAATTCATGAGATTCATTTTTTATTTAGAATTAATTATATGTTAATAAATATAATTATTTTTCAAGGTTGATAAATAATTTATCACATAATATAAAAAAATAAAATAAGGATAACTATCAAATAAATGAAATTCGTTTTTAATTTAGAATTAATTATATATTAAATAATATAATTATTTTCAAGGTTAATAAAGACTTTATAACCCAATATAAAACTAGGTGTTTTGCCCGCACTTGCG